GGAGGAGGAGATGGAGGAGGAGATGGAGGAGGAGATGGAGGAGAAGGAGATGGAGGAGAAGGAGATGGAGGAGGAGATGGAGGAGGAGGAGGAGGAGGAGATGGAAGTGATCTCCTTGAGATGCCTCCTTACCTTCTGCTGTCCTCATTTCCACTGTCAGCAGCTTCAAGGACACACAGGCATCCAGCAGTAGCTCTGTCCCGTGGGAACTGGTGCCCAGGCGCGTGGTAACTGCACCCAAGTCCAGGGGCCCCGGGGCCTCCGCGAGGACGTGGAAGACACCCAGCTCACAGGCAGCCAAGAGGGCCTGGGGGAGGGAGAGGGCGGCTCTGAGCCCCCGGGAACCACACCCAGTGGGAAGCCACCGAGAAATGCCGGGCTTAGTTGGTTTATTTAACTTTGTGTTTAAAAAGTACTCTTATTATGCCCTGAGAAAGTGTAATTATAAATGAGATGTGATCAAAAATGCAGACAATGTTTAGATTTAAAATGTTTTACAGCCAAAGCCACATGCCCACGAATCTCCCAGAATCCCCCCCCCCGGCCGTGCACACCCTCCTCCCGCCGTCCTGGCCGCTGTCCGCAGCAGCTCTGGAGTCCTCTTTCCTGGGGGTCTTTAGCTGCGCCATCCCGGCTGCCTCAATGTCCTGAGTGGACTCAAAACGGTGACCTTTCCGGGTCATCCTGACCTTGGGGAGGAGCTGGGAGTCGCCCGGTGCCAGCTGCGGTGACTCGGGTGGAGGAGGACACAGCGCCGTGTGTTTCCGAGCTGCCTTTCCGCTGGACGGCGCCCGGCAGAGCAGTCACCGTGTTGGTGACCACACCCGGCGAAGCCCTCGGGAAAGAGGACCCCAGAGCTGCACCCTCAGGCTCCGGACACCACAGATGTCTTCCTGTCTCCCAGCTTCTGCGGCTGAGCTGGGCTCGCCAGCTCCCTTGCCAAGGCTGGGCCGCCCCCCCGCCCCCACCCCGCCTGTCCGGGCCGTGCGGGAAGATTGACTCCGTCGGGCGCATTTGCTTCACTTCCTCGAGATGCTGCTCGCTGTCCTGCTGGTGGCCGCGCCTGTCTGTCCCCTGACGCTCAGCACTGGGGATGGAACCTGGGGCCTGGCACGCGCTCTGCCCCTGAGCGACGCCCCAGCCCTTGCTCAGTTCCCGGTCAGGGTCTTGCTGCGTTGCCTGGGCCAGCCTCAAACTTGTGATCCTCCTGCGTCAGCCTCCCAAGGACGTGCGACGCGAAGCATGCAGTGCTGCACCTGGTTTTATTGACATTCCATCCAGGGACGCTCCGCTGCATTTTACGCTATTCAGGGTACATCCACTCTCTTTTTTCAATTTTCATTAACTTTATCGACACATGTGAGGTGTGCAATACGCTGACACTCTTCACTGGCATCTGTACCTTTACATGGTGCATCTTGGTTCTTATTTTTCCCTTTCCCCTGCCCTCCCTTCACCCCTCCGCCCTTCCCTATTTACAAAGACTTTGTGTCCATTTTTCCTTTTCTCATATTTTTTCCTTTCCCCTCTTTCCCTTCCCCTTCCCCTCCCGCTTCCTCTTCCCTTTTGTCCTGTTAAGTCTGCATTAACTAATTCTCCTGTTGCGAGTGAAGGAAGTGATCTTCTATCAAGTTTGCACTAGCTAGTTGTTTTCTTTCTGTTGCTTTTTTTTGAGACAGGGTCTTCTATGTACCCAAGGCTGGCCTGGACTTCACCGTGTAGCCCAGGGTGACCTTGGACTTATGGAGATCTCCCTGCCTCAGCCTCCCAAAGAATGCCAGGACAGCAGGTGTGTGTCATGATGCCCAGTGATGAATTCTTCTGTCCAGAGCGAACTGTTTCATACTACTGAGCTGCTGTTAGCTCTCATCCTATTCGTGTGCTGGATTTTATTGTGTTAAAGTTGCTGTGGCTCTTGTTCCAGTAAGTTGCAACACCTAACTGCTCTGTGGGGCTGAGTCGGCCTGGCCCTGAGAAGTCCGCATCGAATCCTGTTCCAGTCACCTCTGGGCAGGGGCGCCATGCACTGTCCCATGCCCTGGCGTCATCTTATCTCCCGGATCCACAACCCACTGAGACAGTTTTGGGCTGGGTTCGCTCCAGAGAACGAATCCCCTACCTCAGACGGGGAGGGATGAAGTAAATCTCGCCGTGACCCAGCCAGGACCCCTGAGCTCCGACAGAGCTCTGCTCACTTCTCAGGGTACCGGGGCCACTGGGGTCCCCGAGTTTGGACACAGAGGAGACCCCACCGTGAGCACCCTGCGTCCTGGCAAAGGGGGAACGGAGCCCCACGGGGAACGGAGACCACTGCAGGCCACCTGGCCAAGACCCTCGGCCACACTGATATCCTCGGTCCACATACCCGGCATGGAGCAGCTGGGAAAACTAAAACCGCACCCGTCATCCCAGGCGTTGAAGCACGGGGCTCTGACGCTGCACCCCCAGCCCTACTGATTTTTTACTTTGATATGGGCTCTTGCTAAGTTGCCCAGGCTGACCTAGAACCTGCGATCCTCCTGCCTCAGCCTCCCGAGTGCTGGGATGACAGGCACACACCACCACTCTTCTATTTTGTCATTAAAAGTACAATTCACATCAAACTCACCGTTCATCCTTTAGAGGGAATCTAATCACGGACCCATCATCACTGCTGTGTAACCCTGGCTTCTGTGTATCTCGAGGACACTGTCCTCACCCCAAAGCAGACCCAAACCCGTGAGTCAGTCCCAGGGGCCTCCCTGCCTGGGGAAGACTAACCCGCTCTGTCCCCGTGGCCGTCTGCACTGGGTGTCCACGCAGTCAGGCGGATTCGTGGAACATAAACACGGAACCCAAAGCCCTCGGCCACACGAAGCTCGGGGGACTGGTACCTACTTCCCCGCTCGAGGGCGTGCAGGACGAGCCTCCAGCCGGGAGCTCCAGGGCGCACCTGTACACCCAGACACTCAGGAGGCTGAGGCAGGAGGATCGCTTGAGCCCAGGAGGAAAAGCAGTGAGATCCCAGCTCCTCCCTCCAAATTAAAAGCCCCCAAATCTTGCCTGTGTTTGCAATGCACCAGCTAATTACTTAGCATGTTAACAAACACACACACAGATTCCTCTATCACAAAATATTTTCCTTTTTTTTTTTTTTTCCTTTTGCCTGTGCTGGGGATTGAACTCAGGCCCTTCACACTGAGCTGCATCCCCAGGAGCTTTGCTTTCTTCTTTTCATTCTGAGACAGGCTCTCCCTAAGTTGCTCAGTTTGGCAGGCTGGGCTGGGCCTCCCTCAGCCTCCCAGAGCACCGGGATTCCAAGCGCGCACCACACCTATATCTTGACAGGTCTCGGTTCAGTGCACGTCTGGTCCCACCCCACCCATACACAACAAAACCCATGATGCTGAGGCCTGTGGTATTCAGTGGCCGAGGACTTCATATGTCGATTCACACTGCACGGTCTGGGGCACCGTGGTAAGAAAGCACATCCCTTCTAGGCCCAGGACAGACGTCAATGTTCTCTCAGATTTTCAGTCCGTGGTTGGTCGAATCCACGGATGTAGGGGCCCCAGGTTCAAACGCTTCGCCGTGTCTCAGCATGAGGCTTACAGATGTGATTTGGGTTTGGGTTTTTTCGAGACAGGGTCTCGCTCTGTAGTCCAGGCTGGCCTTGAACTCACTACGGAGCCCAGGCTGGCCTCGAACTTGGAGCGATCCTCCTGCCTCAGCCTCCCGGGTGCTGGGTTAGTTTAATTTTTTAGACTTTAAAGACACTAACCATGCAAGCTTGCTTTTCTCCCTGCCCCCCTGGTTGTATTTATCCCGTTGCCCCTCCACATCCCTGCAGGTGTGTCCGCAATTGATGTCCTGTTACCCCGGAAACAGTGGCTCTTTCTTCAGGGCATGGAATGCAATGCAGGGCCTCGCTGCACACAACTGCACATCCTGCCTCCGAAAGAGTCAGCTGGGGCTGCGGACATAGCTCAGTGTTACTGCTCCTGCCTCACAAGCACAAGGTCCTGAGTTCGATCCCTGGCACCGAGAAAACAAAACCAGAAGGCTCAGCTTCCTACAGCATGCCTAGGTCCGCAGGAGCCCACAGGGACCCGGCCCGAGGCCTGCAGCTGCGTCCGGCCCCAGCGAGACCTCCACCTGCCCTGCAGCCCACCGCAGCCCTACCTGTGAGACCATGAAGCTGTGCACACACTGGGTCAGCAGGCGGCAGGTGCTGGGCTCCGGGGAGCACATGTCCGCCCAGCGCGGCTGCCCGGGCGCGGCCTGGACGGAGGAGCCCAGACAATTCCCCTCGGCTTATGAGGCGGACCCCCGAGCCCGGGGACTGGCTGTCCCCAGCTTCTGTCACTGTGCTGCCCACCCCACGTGCTGAGCTGCGGGCCTGGCACCCCGCTGTCCCACAGGACGGCTCCGAGCTTAATCACAGCACAGCTGATCCTGGTTCTGGACTCCCTGGGATCGGGGGCAAAGGGATGAACTTGTATCGGCGACCCCCAGAACAAATGAACATGAACTGGGAGGACTTCAGACGTCAGGGGGCCACCTTCTCCCGTCCTGGACCCCAGGGGGATGAGACCCACGCGTCCCGAGCCAGGCTCCCTCCACTGTCTCCCGGGGAAACCCTCCTGCCTCTGCCTCCTCCTGGGCTCCAGACGGCCCTGGGCTGCTTTGGGTGCCTTGGCCTGGTGGCTCTGGCAGGGCTGAACATCATGGCAATGATGTGGCGTGGAGGCAGCCAGCAGGCAAAAGGAGGAAGCGGCCAGCGTCCCTCTTCCCCCTCCCGTGGCCTTCCTACTCTGTTCTGCCCCAGCTGGGCTCCAAGCGGCTCCATTTTGATAAGGGTTGGCACGAGCGACCCTATTTCATTAGGCCTGGCCAAAGTGGCTCCATTTGGTTAGCACACTTTTTTTTTCTTTGGTACCGGGATCGAACTTGGGACCTTGTGCTTTCGAGGAAGGTAGAGGAACCACTGAGCTAAATCCCCGTCCCAGGTGACTCCATTTTGCTAGGCCAGGCATCAGCGATGTCATTTAGTTAGGCTTGGTGTAGGTGACCCCACTTCCTTGGGGCCTGGCAAGAATGACACCATTCCATGGGACACTGCGGGATCGCTGCCGTTTTGTTAGAGCTCGGCAGGAACGATGCCATTTTGGGAGGCTTAGCATGACCACCTCCATTTTACTAGCGTTTGACATATAGTGAGTCCATTTGCTGGGGTTTGGTGGGACTGTTAGGGCTTGGATATAAAACGTCCCCAAAAGGCTCAAGTGTTCAGAGCTGGGGCTTTTGGGGAGGCTATGGATCGTGGGGACTCTGTACTCCTATGTGGATCAATCTATTGATGCATTTAGAGCTGAATGTGCTGTTATAGGTGGGATCTGAGGAAAAAGGTGGGCTGGGTGTCTTGTCCTCAGCTCCTCCCTTTTTTCCCTCTCCTTCCTGGTAGCCACCAGGTGAGCACCTTTCCTCCCCCACACCCATCCACCACACTCCTGCCTTGGAGCAGCCGACCATGGACTGAACCCTCTGATACCATTGGAGCAGCTGACCATGGACTGAGCCCTCTGAGACCACTGGAGTAGCCGACCATGGACTGAACCCTCTGAGACCATTGGAGCAGCTGACCATGGACTGAGCCCTCTGAGACCACTGGAG